GAGGTCAGGGGACAACTTTATCTAGTCAGTTCTTTCCTCCTACCTTTATATGGGTCTCAGGAATCCAACTCACATTGTCAAGCTTGCATGAAAACACTTTCAATCCACTGAGCTGTCTCGCAATCCAAGGACTATAGATATTATTAGTTCTTTTTTTCTCTTTACAAAACATAATTAGTGTGGCTGGTGGGAGCAGATCTGTTGCCCCCGTGATACCTAAGGGAGCACCGGCCACAGGCAGACTGGTTGGACTGTCTATCTGCTGCTGCTGTTACCCGACAGTCAGACTGGGTCATTTATAATAAATCACAGTCCATTTGGCTCATGATTGTGGAAGCTGGGAAGTTCAGGATTGGATGGGAGCACGGGGGAAGGCCATTATCATCAGTGGGCCCTCTACAGAATCCCAAGGGAGCTCGGGGAATTTCATGGTAAGATAGGAAGCTGACAACTTGAGTCTCTTCCGCCTTCATAAGGTCCCTAATATCCCACACTCATGGTCTCATTTAACAGAGATTTAATTACCTCCCCAAGCCTATTGACAGAACTTTGAGGATTAAGCTTCCTTCTTTTTTCACTTTCATTTTTAGTGCTGGGGGTTGAATCTGGATTTCATGCATGGTAGGTCAGTGCTCTATTGCTGATACACCCCCAGCCCTCTCTTTACCTCACATTCTGAGGCGAGGGTTCACCAAGGTGCTCAGGCTGTCCTCGAACTTGAGATCCTCCCGAGTCAACTTCCTCAATGGCTGAGATTACAGGGCTGTGCCACCAGGCTTTGACTGAGGATTAAACTTCTACATACAAAGCAGTTGTTGAGACCACCACTTACAGGCTGCGGGATTCAGACTTAATTTGCTCGTCATTGGACTTCAGCAAACTATGGCTGACAGCCAGCAAGGCCCACTGTGTTTGTGGGATACCCCATTACTGATTTCATGGTCTTGAGCCCAGTATAGTTTTTTTTTTTTTACCTTTTAAAATGACCAGTTGGGCGGTGGGGGCGCACGCCTTTATTCTCTGCACTCAGGAGGCAGAGGCAGGAGGATCTCTTGAGTTGGAGGCCAGCCTGGGCTACAGAGTGAGTTCCAGGAAAGGCGCAAAGCTACACAGAGAAACCCTGTCTCGAAAAACCAAAATGAATGAATGAATGAATAAAATGAGGGCCTGGGAAGATAGCTCAGTGGGGAAGAGGGCTTGCTCTGCCAACTTGAGGACCTGAATTCGAACCTTCATCCACCATGTAAAAAGCTGAGCATGGCTGTGTGTACCTCCAACCTCAGCACCCGGAGGAGACATGTGGATCCTGAGAGCTCACTGACCAGTCGTCCTACCCCAAATGCCCCGCTCCTCCTTCACTTAGAGATGCTGCACCAAAGCAATATGGTAGAGCACCTAGAGAAAGATATTTTATATCTGGCTATGGCCTCTGCATGCACTTGCCTGGGCAGCCCTCTGCAGACTCGTACACACACACACAGACACACACATAGATACACATACACACACATATACACACAGAGACACAGATACACACACAGACACACACATACACACAGACACACACACAGACACACATACACACAGACACACACACACATACACACAGACACATATACACACACAGATACATACACACAGACACATATGCACACACAGACACATATACACAGACACACACACACAGAGACATACACACATAGACACATATACACACAGACACAGACATATACACACACAGACACACATACACATACACACACAGACACACACAGATACATACACACAGACACATATACACACACAGAGACATATATACACACAGACATGGACACATACACACACACAGACACATACACACACACAGACATACACACAGACACACACAGACACATGCATGCACACACACACACATACACACAGGCACACACACACAATGGCTAAAATGAAATCAAAATAGCAATATTTTAGGCATGTGAACATCGTATGGAATTCACATTTCGGTATCCATAAAGAAGTTCTCCTGGACACGCCCCTGTCTCTTTTTTTTGTAACCTTTACTGCTTTCGCATGACACCAGTAGGACTGGGACGCACCTGGCATTGATGTGACCCTACACCTGTCTCTTCCTGTGACTCCTACCTGGTCCTCCACCTGAGGTTTGTCAACTGCCGCCTTAAGGTGGGAGTTGTGGGTTCTGGAAATGATTCCTACAGCAGGGCGCTTGTGAGAACTAACCAAACACTAGAAATAGGTGTGGACCCCGCCTGGAATGGAACAGTGCTTCTGGTCTTAAACTTCCTCCCTTTTCCTAAAACGGTTTTGGAGCACAGCACACAGAGAGAACAATGCTGAACGGGACTTGGTGTTCTCCCAAGGATTGCCTTGCACTAAGGAGCCTCCCCGACCATGTTTGGGGAGCCCTTCAAACCCACACCCTTCCCCACTGATTTGGCATATCCCCGACATGCAGTACAGAACCGCTGAGTTTAAGAACTGATGGCTGGCAACACCATCCACAACCCCCCGCGTTCACTCATCAGTGATTCCCATGGATCCAGAGATGAAAAGCCAGAGGGAATTGTCTCTCCCTTGTCTCTCCAGGACAGCTAGCATTCTGAATCCTCTCCTGAAGTTGACTCCTGTACCCACGATCAGTCTGTGTTCATCTGGCCACTAGAGAGCACTTTGAGACTAACAAAGCCTGGGCTGTGTGCCCGGGCCTCCGTTTGAACCCTGCTGTCCTTGTGATGGGGGTGGGGGTGGGGGGTGCATTCCCTCGCTGCACTGCGCCATCTAGCTACCAGCGGTGGCTCGCAAATGGCCTTCAAGGCTGATGGATGCGTTTTGTGAAGCTTAGTGACCTGTAGTAGTGATAATGAAGTATTCTGATGCGCAGATACATTATATTCTGTCACTATGGTTCTCTGCCTCTGGTGACATCACCTAATTTGTACTGCTTTACGGCATCTTTGGAAGGCAAGCATTTTCACCAGGGTCCCAGTTTCCTTATTGCTCCTATTCTTTTCTGTCAGATTGAATTTCTCTCAAAGAGAAAATATCGCTTGATATTGATTCCCGCGCACAAGATAATTTCAGGTTCCCGCTCGGCAGTTCAGCAAAAGCCCTGTTTAAAATCTCGAGGAGGTTTTCCAAGGCTAAGAGGCACAGTTCAAAAGAACAGTTCTTAAATGTGTTTAAAAGACCCTTGGCTACATTTTCTGATGGTTTCATCAGCAGTTTGCACTGATACACTTTCCATTGTTATCACAACTGAACCGTATCATAGGGAGTTGTACCAGCAAGACCATCAAGCTTTCTCAAAAGGCTATAACGCTTTGATGTTTTCTGGCCTATTTCTTACTGTGCTCTTAAAATGTTTAGCTTCTGCTGAGCCAAATACGTACTTGCAAAGGCAAACGTAGTGAAAAAACTCTTCAAGCATCCTGGGTACTGCCGTAATAGCCAGACGTACAGCGGGAGGATGAGTCTCTGTTAGGAGGAGGTGGAGGGGGGCGTTCTTTGTGTGATGCATTGGGAATGACTAATACCGACCTTCAGCTGGGCTTTGGCCCATCGGTGCTGGGGTCTAGCTGTGGACACAGTGAAGAATCTGCTTTGCTGATCAGTGCTTATAGACATATCCCAAAGTCATTCCATCTTGGCGATAGTGTCTGCATCAAAGAGAAATCACAGACATCAGTTCTAGCCACGACTCCTCCACAGATGGAGGCGTTTAGAAGGATAGATGTTTGAAGGGTGTGTGTGTGTGTGTGTGTGTGTGTGTGTGTGTGTGTGTGTGTGTGGAGCGGTTCTTAGATGTTTAAAAAAAAATCCTAAATAATTTTTCCCTCTTCTGAATGACACTTGACTCTCAAGTAAAGAATATTTCTGCATGTAAAATGTCAGCTCCATCTAATAATAACCCACTTAAAATATGCCACACACAAAAAAATCACTAATAGAATTTCTCACCATTTTATAAAATGAAATTCTTTCCTCCATATGGGGACCTGGTTCATAGATGCTTCTAGAATGGCATCTATTACAAACACAATGGATTTCTTCAAGCTAAAGTCACACTCTGAGATGTAAACTTGCGATCTCATCTGTTACCAACATGTATCATTCATGCTTTGACACGAGAATAGCATGGGTGAGCAGTGGCAAATAAGGGATTAAGGAAGACTTTTTGAGAAAAACTCCCCTGGGTTTCTCCGGGAGCCATGAATATGAAAACATCAATAAGAGCTAAGGTTAAGAGTTAACTCTCTTATTGTAAAGATATTCTTGGTTTTCAGCAGCCAGGCTTAATTTTCAGCTATCAATCTCTAAGCCAGATACAGCCACTCTTTTCTCCAATCCTGGAGGGTGGACTGCTGCATGCTCTGATTTCTTTATCTCACGGGATGGTTTTTGTGGGGGTGACAAGATAGTAGTCATTTATCTAAAGGTAATGTTAGCTCTGGCGTTTCGACAAGGCTGGAATGAGACAGCACGTGTGTGTGTGTGTGTGTGTGTGTGTGTGTGTGTGTGTGTGTGTGTGTGTGCTTGCTTGCCCTGATCTCCACGGTTCTTAGGAGCTGTAATTGTGTTGAACAGTTATGGAGGTTTTTTCTTTAGAGAATACAGAAGTGGCACATGCAGCTCTTGATCTGGGTCTTGTTCCAGAAACAAATACAGATCTCTACCAGTGGAAACCTTTTTCCTGAGTCGTGCAGGAATTCAGTAGGACAACTTTTTTCTTTCTTTCATTTATTTATTTATTTATTTATTTATTTATTTATTTGGGTTTTTTTTGAGACAGGGTTTCTCTGTGTAGTTTTGGTGCCTGTCCTGGATCTCTGTACACCAGGCTGGCCTCGAACTCAACAGAGATCCGCCTGGCTCTGCTTCCCGAGTGAGTGCTGGGATTAAAGGTGTGTGCCGCCGCCGCCGCCGCCGCCGCCGCCACCACCACCGCCACGGCATCTTTCAATTTTTTTTTTTTTTTTTTTTTGGTTTTTCGAGACAGGGTTTCTCTGTGTAGCTTTGTGCCTTTCCTGGAACTCGCTTTGGAGACCAGGCTGGCCTCGAACTCACAGAGATCCGCCTTGCTCTGCCTCCCGAGTGCTGGGATTAAAGGCGTGCGCCACCACCGCCCGGCTCAATTATTTTTATTTGTCCTTTTTCTTCTGAGACAGAGTCTTTCTATGTAATCTAGGCTGGCTTAATTTAAAGGTATTGATTAGCCCAGGGTGGCTTTGAACTCATGATCCTCCAGCCCCCAGCCTCTTTGAATTATAGGCACATGCCATCACAATTAAAATGCGAATGATCTCTATGTCTGCTCTTATTCTTTCTGTCTTGGTTATTTTATGCGTACCCGCTCTGGTCCAGTGAAGGTGGCTTATGAATTGTTTAGGATGTTAAAAAGCGATACTGAGCGGAGTAGGGGTAGCCCTGTGCTCATAGCCTACTGTTTAGATAGGCAGTAGGGGCTTTGCTTTTGATGCAGAAGACACCCCGAACCTCCAAGTAATCCTGCTCTGTTTGGGGACACCTCTTTCGTTGCTACTTAATCATTAATATTGCAAACACATGACATCGGTCTCTCTTAGACAAAGAGAGCGCACGGAGGCCGATTTGACCTTCTGTTCCTTGAAGTCTTCACACGGTTCCTTCCACAGGGGCGTCCATCCGCAGCAGTGAAGGGCTGCGGTTTGATGCATAGAGTCTGCGAGAGTGGGATGGGAGAGAAATCTCGCAGACCAGCGGTGTGGACTGCGGCAAGGCCAGCAATCTTCCAGGGCTGGTATTTCCTCATCTGTAAAAAGAAGGGGCCGGACTCAATGATTGCTAAGGTCACTTCCAGCTCTGTAAATTCTCTGCTTTTAAAAAATGCTCAGGTCCTGAGAGGAGCACATCTTGGGTTTCTGGACAATGGAGCCCAGGGTGTATTTATGTTTGACCTCCTACCACATTCTGACTCTCTCCTCTAATGAATCTGGGTTTATTCTTCACTGAAATGGCTCAGCTCCAGGAGCCCTTGGTGTGAGTCTAACACTGTGTAGATATTGATTTTTTTCTGGCAGGAGAGTGGTTACTGTAACCACCAAACTATTAAATTTCGCTCCTTTTCCTAGGGATGATTCCACAAGTGCCTTACCGCTCACTGCCTGGGGCTGATAGTCAACTCTCAAATCCAGGGCTCACTTGAAGGCGGCATTACTAGGATCGTGGTATTGTACAAAGCTTCCAGGCTGGCCGCTTCTTACCTTCCACAATCTTAGAGCTATCTATCTAACACTGCAGAGGTGGCCACAGACAGGACCTGGGCTCTGTTCTCTGTCCCCTTCTGGGCCAAAGCTTAGCACCTCTCACTGGAAATGGGATCAACAATAGGACGAGCTCCTTTTATCATTTCGTTTGTATCTTTTTACCCCTCCCCCCCGCCCCCCCGTAATGGCATTAGTTATCTATTGTTGTCAGGGTAGGATCACAAATGTCCCCCTCAACATACACCTCTGTGTGTGTGTGGGGGGGGGTATGACACTAAAATATTGATTTGACTCCTGCCTTTTTATTTGAGACGTTTACCCGGTGAGGTCTCCAGTGACTTAAGAAAAGGCACATACTAGTCATTAACTTCTAAAAAAAAAAAAAAATTATCGGGGCTTCCATTTACAATAATTTTTAGGCGTTCGCCTTGTGATCCCAGCTAAAACACACGCCACAACCTGAGTGGTGTGCATAATGTCGATAAAGAACTCTGTATCTGGAACCATCATACCTTGTCCATGACCTCTCAGGAGATCCATGGTGACCCCAGAGCGGAGGGTGTGTTTAATGAGATCATTCATATTTCTGTAAAACCAGCCATCTGGTCACGTCTGTTCAGGGCGGCACTTCCGCAGACGCAGCGTAAGTGGCGGTTCCACACGAGGCATTATCTCTTCTCGCACGACACTGAAAGCCTACGCGCTGCTTGACAAATCTGAATTTTAAAAAGTGGAATGATTGGCACTTGGTAACTTACACAGGAGTAGAAAGTGGTACAAGAAAATTGCCCATTTCTTTTAGATTTACATTTTATGATTTTTTTTCCCCCTTTAAGAAGTGATAAGACATGTAATTTCCATCAGCTTCAACCAGTTATGTATGAAAGGGGCTGCAAGTTCAGGTCTGCGGAGGAAAAGGAAGCCGCCAGGAGGATTGGCATAATACAGGGAGGCAGACAGCCTTCGTGGCTGCCTTTACTTCGGGGGTTACAAATGGCTAGTTTGGGGCTGAGAGCAAACCCTCAGAAGTGGGTTTTTCTGTCTTGAAAACAATTCTGTTTGCCCTTTGTTGCTGGACTCACCAGCCCCAAAGTCTCAGCTGCCAAATGCCCCTCTGTGTGCCAAATGCCCCTCTGTGTGCCAAATGCACCTCTATTAAACGCAGAGGAGGAGGCAGAAAGTGGGAATAACTAAAGCTTGCGAAGTTTTGCTTTATGTGTTGGAGACTACGCACGGCTTGGTATAAGGCAATTCTTTTCTGCTGATTTATTTAGCCAGCCAATATTTACTGATCAATATATTTACTGATACAAATAGAACAAGGTGAATGCCTAAAAATCGCTGTAAATGAAAGCCCCTGTTAAATTTTATTTAGAAGTTAGTGGCTAGTGCAGCCTCTTGCCACATTGTACCTTTTTTAACTCATTGCAAAGACCTCACTGGGGTATATACTCCATATATAATATAATATAATATAATATAATATAATATAATATAATATAATATAATATAATATAATATAATATAATATAATATAATATAATATAATATAATATAATATAATATAATATAATATAATATAATATAGTATATGTTTATATAATATATCGTGTATATTATATATTTATATATTGTATTGATGTGTATTTTATATTATATATAATACATACACATACGGAGAACAAAGCATCCACACTTTACATATGCCAAGTTAACCTTTCTCCACTGGCCTCCACTGTAGTTATGAAATAATAGAGGTAATTGGCAACCCTGAACTTATAACAAAGTCTATTTAAGAGTTCTGATTTTTATTTCTGATAGGCATATTCTGTCACGTCCATCACTACTTTGTATACCTATCATTGAACACATACATACAACAGACCTCATGCTTGAAAACACATATGAAATATATATATATATATATATATATATATATATATATATATATACACACACACACACACGCACACACACACATATATATTTATGAGATCACACACTGAGTTCCTATATTATCATCGTGTAGTTGGTTTTTTTTTTTTAACTCTTGGGGGCCTGACACCCAGCTCCCAAATAAATACATGGAAACTTATTCTTACTTATAAATGTCCGGCCTTAGCTTGGCTTATTTCTAGCCAGCTTTTCTAACTTAAATTATTCTGTTTCTCTTTAACTATGCTTTTCCTTTGGGCTTTTTACCTTTCTTTATTCCATATATCTTTCTTTCCTTCTTACTCCATGGCTGGCTGTGTGGCATCCTGTGTGTCTGGCCCCTGGCATCTTCCTCTCCTCCTTTTTTCATTCCTCACTCTTCCTTAGATCTCTCCTCCTATTTATTCTCTCTGCACGCCAGCCTGGCCTATTTCTCTCTCTTACTTAGCTACTGGCCATTCCCCTCTTTATTAGACCAATCAGGTGTTGTAGGCAGGCAAAGTATCACAGCTTTACAGAGTTAAACAAATGCAATATAAACAAATGCAACACATCTTTGCATCATTAAACAGCATAAATGAATGTAATACATCTTAAACTAATATTCCACAACATCATCAACTTTGTCAGATAGGAGATAATACAATCTTCCCTTAGGTTTAAACAATCTATTTTAGTTTGGACTGCAGTGTATGGGAACATAAAATAACTAATCCTTTGAAAAACAGTAACACTGGTACTTCTACCCACAACTAGTGGGTTATAAAAAGGAACACAGCTATTGAGCTGGGAATGTAGTTCAGTTGGTGGAGTGGTCATGTGATTACACACCTGTACTCCCAGCACCGGGAAGGTAGAGTCAGGAAGATGAAGGTCATCTCAGCAACGAAGTAAATTATAGGCCAGCCTGGATACCCAAGACCCTTGCTCAAAGTAAATGACAGAGACAGATGGTTGGAGAGAGAGGTTAAGTAGGTGGATAGATAGACAGACCGACAGACTCAAGTAAAAAGAAGAATATTTCAATGAGCTACTTAGAACATTCACATGTTAAATGCAGCATCAAAGTTCATTTATTCTTCATTTACCAGGTAGTAACAAGAACTGTTTGTGTATTGTGATTCTTGCAGCACTAGTATATGGTAGAAAATTATTTCTTCAAAATGATTAAATGCATACCATTAATTCAACAGAAGCCCAGGTAAGTATGCTTCGAAGGTCACTAGGGTACTATGAAGTAATTCATAGTCTGGCCCGACTAAAGCCCTGTGTTCTCCCCCCATAACAAACTTGACGTGCATATTGACTACTTCCTATACTTCCGCCTCTGTTTCTTTGGTTAAAAAGAAAAACTTCCCTTCTTGGCAAACAAAAGAGGTAGGAGAATTGTTAGGTGGTATCTTGGTAGGACCAATATCTATGAATGCGATCCAAGTCCCTTTCCGGGTAGCCTCAGAAGAATTTTACTTTGACTGGTCTTTTCAGTCTGGGGCCCCCACACTCCTGAAGTACTGAAATACATTCTAAGTAATGTAATATACAGATAACCTGATGTTCCATAAGCAGAGGAGTGGGCCAAAGTCTGACCAGAGAGCCCTTGGGACCATATTGATGCTGTTTATCCCTTGTGACATCCCCTCACCTTGCCTAGGGAGCTGAAATCTAGATATGGCTGAAAATAGAGCAAACCTCTATGTCTATGTGGTGGGTGAAGCAAGAGCCTCAAATTATAAGCCAAAATGTAAGGTATTAGCAAGAGATTTAACACTTACAGTCACGCTTGGAGTTACAAGGTGTTAATGAGCAAGACATGGGAAGGCAGGCATTTTTCTCACTTGGCTGTCTGGTTTTACTGTTGGTGCAGAAAATTTGAAAACCTCTAGTTGTGAAACCATGAATCAGGAGCGTTTCCTGGATTATGAATGATGATGCCCTCTTTGAGAGGAGGGCTTTCAGCAGAATGTAGCAACAGTGAGGGTAACTTGTTTGCAGCAAGCAGGGTCCTGAATTTATTGCAGAGGAGGAGTGTGTGAGCTGACCAAAATGGAGAACGATGAGAAGTAACTAAATTATGTATGACAGTCTTTACTCGGCAGAGGAAGGAAGAAAGCTTAATGATGCTGTGGTTGAAGGACCAGCAGCAACTGGTGATGTATTAGTTGGATGTTGGTAAGAAGAGAAATGAACCCAACAAGGCCCAAGGACTATTGATGAGGGTGACAGAGACCATGCAGTGGACGGAGGAAGAGAAACCACTCGCTCGGGACATAATGAATTTTAGTGACAACGTGATAGTCAACTAAAGTTAACTTGACATTAAAAAATCATCACTTTAATGTATGTGGCTCTTTCAAGCCTGAGTTTTATCAAGGCCAAAAAAAAAAAAATCTATAGCTAACAATGAAATATTTCCCCCCTTTGCTTTCCTGGTATCCACCAAGAGCAGTACATAATTTAATTATGGAATCTACAGGCTGGACCATAGAGATGAAGAATGATGTGTTCGCGCTAGTGAGAAATTAGGTAGAACCGACTGTTTATTCTCATTATTCTCCCTCTGTGAGGCTAAATTAATACAGTTAACAAGCTTTTGTTTGGATTAGCAGTTGAGATCGGGGATGTGCAGATCAGAACTCATGATTATTACAGTAGCTTTTATTTATGGAGTGACGGTGTGGAGTGTGGGTAGTAGCAGCCGCAAGCCCCGCGGGTAGGACAACCATTCTGTCTTTCTGGGTTGGAACAAAAGTTCCTCCAGAAAGTCTTAACACCTGAGTCCAGTAAACGATGTGTAAGGAAATCAGATGTAGTTCCCTAGGGCACAGGACCGCCACAAACTTTACCAGGGGACTGCAAAGCAAGCGTGTGTGCACCTTTAGCTTGCTTTTCAGGGTCTTTGCCAGGACTGGAGTAGAAATTCTAAACCTGGTCCACCTAAAAAGCCAATGCAAATGAAGTTTCGAAGTATGAGGCCTCGGGGCACAGCTGCACGCCCTACACCCTTCTGGTAGGAAGCTGAGAAGCCATCGCTGGCTAGGAGGACACAGCCTGTAGGGCTTATTACAGAGACCCGAACCAGGTCCCTTCATCCCTTGTCCTTTTCAGGTCCCCGGCATCTGGAATCTTTAGGGTTTTTTTTTTTTTTAAGTCACCTTTCTGTATTTTTAGTAACAGCTTAAGTTGATGGATTCAGAGGACTAGGAAGATCACTCACCATCAACAACTACCAAGGCCGAGCACTCAGGCCCGTGGGCGTGGCCAGGCGCGGTCCCTTCCTGAGACCACTGCCAGCACCACCAGTGCAAAAAAAAAAAAACCCTGTGCAAACCGCAAAAGTCACCGCAACGCCGCGGGTCAGAGGTCAGATGCACGGGTGCCGAGCAGACTGCAGACCCACTCTGCATCAAGGACCCAAGGCGGCGGCGGCGGCGGCGGCAGTCGGGGGGTTCGCGACCGAGCAGGGGTGCTCGCCCTGCTCGTCCCCACCTCCCCTTCCGCCGCGCGCGGGCCCCGCCTCCTCCCTCCCGACTTCCAGCGCGGCGGCGGCGGCGGTGGCGGCGGCCCGGGTCGGTGAGAGCGTGCTCTGCACCGGGGTGGAGCGGCGGATCGGCGCGTCCCCTCCCGGAGGGCCCCCCGGCTCGCACCGCGCTCCGCTCCGCTCCGCTTGCACGTGGGCGGCCACTCGCGGGCTCGCCGCGGAGGGGGGAGGCTGCTTCCCCGGAGTCCCTCCTGGCGCCCACGTGGCGGGGAGGGGTGGAGACTTGAGATCCTGGGGCGGAGTTGGCGGGGAGTTGCCAGGAGTCTCTGTGTGTGTGTGCACCCTCTCCCGGGCTGGAGGAGGGTCTCCCTGGACTGGCGACATCTCAGTCTCAGTGTCCTCCTGCTGAAGCTGCTGGTGGGTGGGTACAGAGCCCCCAGGGAGCTTGGAAGCCAGCCCAGGGCAGCCCGGGGTGGAGAAACGTGTCCCCTTTCGCTGCCTTCCCATCCCCCACTCCCCAAACCTTAAAGCAGGCGGGAAGCCGCTTCCAACCAGCCTGCCTCCCTGTTGAGCAGGGTTGCAAGGGCCTTGGCTCTTAGTTGTGCTTTCTGATACCTACGTGTTCACTGCTAGGTACTGTCCTGTCGTGTGAAGGGGAAGTTTGGGAAACGCCCACCTTAAGACTTCTCAGTGAGTGGGGTCCTGTCCTGACCTAGTTTATTTTTTTAAAGGATTCTCTTAGCTGAAGTTCTCTGCCCATCCTCTCACCCTCTCAGACTCTTCCCCCGTTGTAGAGACCATCTAGGCCTGGCCCCAAAGCCCATGTTACAGAACCTGGCTTTAGTATTAGCATTTTCTTGTTTTTCTCCTATTAGATTCAGTCCTCAGAGCTGATTAATCCATTTATTTGGAGGAACGAAGGAGAAAGGAAAGGGAAAAATCACCTGGTTAGTTTCTAAACTGGCCTCATTCAAATGTTATCTGTCTGTCTATCTATCTATCTATCTATCTATCTATCTATCTATCTATCCATCCATCCATCCATCCATCCATCCATCCATCCATCCATCCATCCATCCATCTATCTATCTATCAATCATCTAGCTACCTACCTACCTACACTGGGCTTGGAGGGCCCATTTCCTGAGTTCTGGCTCTGTAAGATGCTGATGTCTGCTTTAGCTAGAAGTGAGGTTCTTAAGTCTAGGTGGGCCCCCCTTGTGATATCTGCTCAGTAAGTACAGCTGAAGTTGCCCAGCGTTTAGGACGGATGCACTGACTCAGGAAGCAGATTGACGGTCGTTCTTCTCCGTGTTTAGTGGCATATGACTTCTAGGCCCAACATGAGTGACATTTCCTGCAAAAAACGGGATGACTATCTGGAATGGCCTGAGTATTTCATGGCGGTGGCCTTCTTATCAGCCCAAAGAAGCAAGGATCCAAGTTCCCAGGTAAATCGGTTTCGTAGGAGGATGTTCAGATACTTGTAGAGATGTGCACAAAGAGCAGGTTAGGAAATGGACTTCTGGCAGCTTAAAAACTGCAGAGGTAATCTGCCTTTCATAGGGTGTTCTCCCATGCTTCTGTGCTACCTGCCCAGTGGCAGGCACACCAGCTTTTCATAGTTACCAAACGTTTGGGCAATGTTTCTCTCTAGGTCGGAGCCTGCATTGTGAATACAGAAAACAAGATTGTTGGGATCGGGTACAACGGAATGCCAAATGGATGCAGTGATGACCTGTTGCCCTGGAGGAGAACAGCAGAAAATAAGCTGGATACTAAATACCCGTATGGTAAGGCAGCCTCAGATTCCATCCTGCTTCCTGTCAGAGCCTGCCGAGGGCTTCACTGAAAGAATTAGTCTTCCCTTTTAGTTATCAACAAATGGAAAGGGGGAAAAATGTCAATTTTTTGTAAATTCTTCCTGTTACTCTCTCTTTTAAATAATGTTTTAATTAATTCTTTGATAATTTGATCTCCTTTTAAGATTTATATATTTTTATTTATGTGCATGTATGCGTACCTGCATGAATTTTTTTTTTGCACTACATGAGTCTTTCTCTGTCCTGCTAGCGAGCATACAAATCATAACACAGAGACATCTTATTAATTATGAAAGCTCAGCTGATAGTTTAGGCTTGTTTCTAAATCGTTCTTATAACCCAAATTAACCCATATCTTTTTTTTGTTTTTGTTTTGTTTTTTGAGACAGGGTTTCTCTGTGTAGTTTTGGTGCCTGTCCTGGATCTCGCTCTGTAGCCCAGGCTGGCCTCGAACTCACGGAGATCCGCCTGGCTCTGCCCCCGAGTGCTAGGATTAAAGGCATGTGCCACCACCGCCCGACCATATCTTTTAATCTGTGTTCTTTTACAGGGCTCGGTTACCTCTGCTTTGTAAAGCCCATGCTGCTTGCTCTTCCTCCCTGGCATCTCTTTGCAACTCTGCCCCCTTTTTTTTTTCCCCCAGCGTCGTCTCTGCCCCGAAAATCCTGCCTAGCTTTTGGCCATTAAGCTTTTTATTAAACCGATCACAGTGACATATCTTTTACACAATGTCATCACATTATCTCGCAATACATAGTGACAAGTGACTGCAGGGGCCAGAAGAGGGTGTCGGGTCCCTTATAACTGTAGTTGCAGGCATTTGTGGGCTGCCTGATGTGGGTGCTGAGAACCCAGTCTGGGTCTACCTCAAGAGCGGTGAGTGCTGTTGAGAGCTGAGGCATCTCTCCAGCTCCTCCTGTGCCCATCCCTAACGTTTCAGAGAGAACCACTGAGGGAAGCCTGGTCGTTGTTACGCAGGCTGGCCCTGAGGTCCTGGGCCTTGCTGCCTTTGTGAGTCTGGTGTGTTTCACGGTGGCCGGAGAGCCTGTAGACACCAGAGCATGCAGTGAAGGCCATGGCCCTTGGCAGAGAGAGCAGGGACACAGGTCCCGTGGCTCTGTAGGTCATTTCTCTACTTCGGGAAAGCAGAATCAGTTTGCCAAGTGGTGTTTCTGCTAACCAGGCAGGCCTTCCCCTTGCTCTGCTGAGAGGCAGGATACATTCAGCTTCTTGGCCTCAGGAGGACGAGTCAAGTTCATCTCTGGGAAGCTGGTACCAGACTGAGCCGAGCGTCAGGAGGTGGATGGTGCAGCTCCTCTTCCTGTTGCTTGGGTCTCTGGTCCCATCATGGGCTGTGTTCAAAACCAAAGGCAGCAGTATAAAAAGGAAGACCTTTGCCTTGGCTCTTTGGCTGCTTACCTTGAAATTAGGAGAGGTGCCATGTTAGTTTACTGTTGCTGTGACTGAACTTGACAGAAATGACTTAGAGGAGGAAAGGTTTCGGGGGACGCTCCGTTTCAAAGTCCATCATGGCGGGGATGGCATGGCATTGGGTTGGCTCTGTCTTTGGCCCCGGAAGTGTAAGGTAGTGTCTTTTCACAGCCCGTGGACCAGAAGCCAACCTCTACAGAGCTGTGGGGATATAACCTTTAAAGACCCACCCTCGGTGAGCCATTTTGCTAGGTAAACCCCATTTCTTAAAAGCTGTACACTGTTGAAAAGCTGTTCACAGGCTGTGGACTCCGGTGCTCAAAAACATAAGCCTGTAGGGAACATTGTAGATTGATACCCTAGCAGGTGCTTCCTCTAGTCTTGCTCCAGTGGGAATCGAATCCCTCCAGAGACCTGTGGAAGAGGAGAATCAGCTTTGCTTTTCCTGTCTGGGTAGGTAATTCCAGAAGAGAGCCTCATTGGGTGGCATATATCCGTTTCTGACTTTTCGTAACGTTACACCTGGTATTTATGTCTGAGAACGAACAGATTGACTCTGTTGGAAGCAAAGTAGATTAAGGTCGTCTAAATGGGAAGGATTGTGCCTTCCGGAAATCAAGCACAAGGCTTCAGTGTAAGACTTGTCTCGTTTGTTGACTCTTCCCTGGTAGGCTTTTCCTCTGGGTATTCCTCATGAGGAAGTCCATGGCTGCCTTTAGTCTAATTTATGTATTTTTTACTAATGTTCTTGGACCTTAATCTTCTTAAATAAGCCCCAGAAGTTTCTTTCTAAACTGCTTACAGGCAAATCCTGCATGTTTGTGGAAAAAAAAAAAGAGAAAGAATTGAAGGACTAAAAGGTAGAGACAGCTACAAAGCATCCATGGGTCTCCAGGGCATAAAAAATAGTTTCCTGATTAAGGGGATTGAATAGTCAGTTGATTTCACCCCTGGTAGGAGTGGCAAGATCTCAGACGAAGTTGGGAGTGTGTGAAACTCTCCCCCAACCCCCAGGCCTAGCTACAGCTCGTGGTCGTGAGTTATGTGAGGAATATGCTCGCATATTTTAGAAACCTTGTCACCCTGGTTTTGATTCCCTAAGCCTCTGATGGGAAGAAAGAGGGGGAAATGATGAGTTGTTTTGAGGTCTGTGCAAAAATAATTTTTCACAGTACAGTTCGATGTGCCGTCTAAGAACGGTCAAAGCGAAAAGGTCGATACGTTGAAAATCTACATTGAAATGTATGACTTACTGCAGTCAATATTTCAATGTGTCGGGACAGTGACATATGGGTCCTTCCTCCGAGCTCCGGGGAGGACGAGTTCTTACACGGAATGTCAGTCTGTGGTCCTCAGGCTGGTTGCTAAAGATAACCAGTGGATGTAGAGTGCAGTGTGGAGGGTCCCCAGTGGGTCACTGGGCACTTCTCAAAGTGGGGCCTGTGCCTTCATTCACGGAGAGCCCCGGGGTGTGTTTGTAATAATGCTCTGGGTGAGTTACACGCGCGCGCACACACACACACACACACACCTCTCTCCTCACTGCTTGGTGCTCTGTAACCTCAGAGTGACCAGCTTTGTTCCGAAGTTGTCACTTTTGTCAAGGGTGGGGAGGGTACCTTTGGAGTGCCTTCCCAGGAGGAACCAAACCCATGCAGGCATCTGTCCAAGCTCACTGATTGTTCTTTACTGAGGAGCTGCTGGGTTTCTGAGCAGCGGTTGTCTGTCTGCATTATTTTTTATCATCCATGAGATACCTCTAGGTTTTCAGAGCTCTCTGCCTCTGCTCATCAATTATTCATTTTATGTGTAGCTGTGTTAGAGTGTAGACAATTTTCTTTCACGAGAATAACCTTGTAATTTGATGTGCCATAAAAATTGTAGAAGGTATTAAATGGTTTTTAAAAGGCATTTAGTATTACTACCATCATAATACACGTAACGATGGGCTTTAAGTCTAAATAATGACGGCTGTGTGTACACTTGCGTTCAATCCTGCCTTTCCAGGGCTTTCCAAGCCACTGAGAGGTGAGTGTTCAGATTGCCTGGCATCTAGAAGAATGTTCAGAGGCCTTTTTTTCAAACTTCTGTTGAAGCTTACAAATCTTAATTAAAAAAAAAAGTAAATAAGGCCATAACTGGATGCTATAACTCTATTCTTTCCTCACATCTGTTAATGTTGACCAAGCTTCTCCACAAGAAAGGATAGATAATGTTATACCCAGATCGAGGGGACCCCCAAAAGACCACCATGGAGACCGAATCCCATATGTAAAAGCAGAGAGCTTTTATTTTCAAGCTCTGAGCTTGGTCTCTCTGTCTGACGCAGTGGTGAGAGCAGAGAGCCCTGAGCTCAGACAGGGTAGAGTTTTTATCATAGCAGAGGTTGGGTGTGAAGGGATTTCCAGGGCTCAGGACCCTGATTGACATTTGTCTAGGGGTATCTATAAAACAGAAAAAGGTGTGTGCTAGACTCTGGGACATCTGGTCACCTTATCTAACCTTTCCTAATGTTTGGAATGTTAGGTACTTCCCCTCAGATGTAGGCCCTCCCTGGGTAGGGTCAGCTTATGGCTTTTCCTGGATCTGGGTGTAGCCTACCAGTAAGCCTGTCACAGAAGCTGTGTCTGGGCCTCCAAGCCTGTCATGGCAACTGTATGGTCAAGCTGTTTTGGGCCCCACACAATACATGGAACTTTTAGAGAATTTTCAAGAGCTCTGTCCAGTCATTCTTAACTGCTAAGTCAGCAGATCCGTAAGGACAAATTTCTGTTGTCACCTTGTTGGATTAAGAAAGGCCAAGCACGGGTTGTGAGGCACACCTTTGGGTGTGTCTGTCTGTGAGAGAGGATTAACTGAAAGGGTTAGGCCTGCCCTGGAATGTGGGTGGCACCTCCTCCCTGGGCTGAGGCCCTGGCCTGAGGGAAGGAGGGAGGCTGAGCTCCAGCCTTTCCCCTTCTCTGCTTGTGATCCGCCATGACGTAAGCAAGAGGTTCCAGTTTCCACAGGCAGGAGCTGGTCCTGCCCCTGTGCCTTTCCCAGCGTGACAGGGCCGCGGTTACAGTAATGGGGAAAGTGTCTGATACAGTAGACCTTCATCTAAATAGAAAAGCTTCAGATCTTTAATGTAGTGACCAAAGGTGCTGCATGTCATCAGGGTTTACAGTAATATTTATCAGATGGCATTTACATGTGCTTGGGAAGAGTTCTGGGACCACACTAGGTCCTTTCTAGTATATTCCACAGTACCCCAGGCTGTGATGTTTTGTGTGTAGGGTGACATAGGGTCTCTTTCGTGTGTGTGTGTGTGTGTGTGTGTGTGTGTGTGTGTCTGTGTCTGTGTCTGTCTGTAGGTCTGTCTGTGTATTTAATGGTATATCTTTTATTTGTTCTTGGACAGTTTCATACATGTAAACAGTGGATCTTGATTGTATGCCCCTCTGCTCCTCCCTCCAGGCATCCTAAAATGCCTGCCTCCCTCCTTCATTTTGTCTCTTTTATTTTTGGTAACCCACTGAGAACAGTTAGTGGTGCCGGTT